GTGTGTGTGTGTGTGTGTGTGTGTGTGTGTGTGTGTGTGTGTGTGTGAGAAGTTTCACGCTCATTCTGTAGCCCAAGCTGGCATTAGCTTCTCAGGGACTTTCCTGCCTCAGCCTCCTGAATCCTGGGATTACAGATATGATCCACCATGTCAGCTTTTCCTACTCTCTCATACCTCATATTCTCCCCCCTTTTAAAGTTTTTCCTTAACTATTACACCCGTTTATTTCATATTTGTATTTGTGTGTGTGTGTACATGTGGAGATCAGAGGACAATCTCTGGGAGTTAGTCCTTCCTTACACCAGGTAGATCGCAGGGATTGGACACAGGTGGTCAGGTTTGATGGCGAGCGCCTTACCTGCTGAGCCATCTCACTGGCCTCCTTTTCTAGAAGGCTGTAGATTCTTTTTGTCTGGTTGGTTTCTTTTCTTTTGAGACAAGGTTGCTCTGTGTAGCCCTGGCTGTCCTAGAACTCGCTACGTAGACCAGGCTGGCCTCTAACTCACATTGGTCTGCCTGCCTCTGCCTCCCAAGTGCTGGGATCAAAGGCGTGCAGCACCACCACCACCCGGCTGGTGCAGATTCTCGGAAGTAGCCCTAGAACAGAGCTCCTGCCGGAGAGGACTTCACATGCCACGACAGGGGCCATCATTGATGAGGTTCTCATTTGAGATCAAAGCCTATTGGTTCCCTCTCTTCCAGCCTTGCTCACTAGCTCTCTGATGCCCCAAATCACTGCATGTGTGGGAAGCCACGGGGAGCTGCTTGCTAAAACTTCCTGTGTGGGTGGCTCAGTAAACAATTCTGCTGTGGAAATTAAGTGGGGACATGAGAGGTGTGGGGGAGGGAAGGGGACTAGAGAGCAAACTCTCAGAGAGTTTCTATGGCCCGAAACTTAGACTTTCTTCATTTCTTCTCTTCGTTCCTTCCTTTGTTTTTGATAGGGCTTCGTGTGTGTGTGTGTGTGTGTGTGTGTGTGTGTGTGTGTGTGCTGGGATTGAAGACATGCCTCTTTTTGCTCAGTGTTACACAGGTCTGGAGACCTAACCAGGGGCCTAGTCCCTGCTGGGCAAGCTGGGCACACACGTAAAAACAATTGAACATCACCCGCTGGCCCCTTTGCTTTTTAAAACAAGACCTCACACTGTAGACAAGGCTGGCCTCAGCTTCTCTTGCTTCGGTCTCCCAAGTATTGGGATTACAGGCGTGAGCCACCATATTCAGCCCAAACTTTTCTTCCTTCCTTCCTTCCTTCCTTCCCTTCTTTCTATCCTTCCTTACTTTTTCTTTTTACCTTTCTTTCTTTCTTTTTCTTTCTTTCTTTTTTTTTTTTTTTTTTTTGAGACAGGGTTTCCCTGTGTACCCTTGGTTGTCCTGGACTCGATTTGTAGACCAGGCTGGCCTCAAATTCACAGCTCTGACTCTGCCTCCCCGAGTGCTGGGATCAAAGGTGTGTACCGCCAAGCCTGGCTCAGACTTTTCTTTAAAAATAAGGAAATTGGAATCTTGAAAGGTAAGGGACATTACCAAGGTCATCAACCAGTGAGTGGCACTTCTGGAAACAGAATTCTGCACTGTGCATCCAAAGGGCTTCCCTTGGCCTCTCTGATATTCCTCCCCCGTTCTGTGGTGTTTGTGGTGTGTGTGTGTGTGTGTGTGTGTGTTCACGTGGCTTCTCTGATTCTGTGTGCTGACAGAGAGAAGGGGGGTGAGGGACTCATTTCATTTCTTGGTATTGCTGGTTACAGCTAGATGATGGGAAAGCAGGCCTAAAAATCAGTTAATACCCCTCCCCCGAAAGCTTATTTCTTCTTTAAAGCTTTTTCTAAGAGCACCTAACATTTGTACCTAACATTCTGTTTACTGTTTTAGAATTTGTCAAGTGTCTTTATTTTTTCCCCACCTAATCCCTACATAAATCCTGTCAGAGTGGGATTACGACTGACCCACTTTTCCAAATGGCACACTGGTCCAGAGATGATGATGAGCAAGACAGCCTCTCACTGTGTAGCCCAGGCTGGCACTGAACTCTTGATATTCTTGCCCAGGTGTGATAGTAGAGGTATGTATTGTCATGCTTGGCTTTATTATATTATTATTATTATTATTATTATTATTATTATTATTATTATTATTTTGAGATAAGGTCTTACTGTGTAGCCCTGGCTAGTCTGGAACTCACAGAGATCCGCCTACTTCTGCCTCCCAGCTTCTGGGACTAAAGGACTGTGACTTTGCTTTCAGCCTTTGTTATTATTTTTGAAGTAAGATCTTGCTATGTTGCTCAGGATGGTTTTGAACCCCTGGGCTCAAATGATCTTCCTTTGTCAGCAGAAACACATATGTTTGGATGGTCATATGTCTCCAAGCCATGACATAATTAGGAATAGTTGAGCCACAACGTTTAGAGGGACAGGGACAGTGTCTGTTACATCACAAACCTTGGCCATTGTAGGACTAGGTGAACCTCAGAATTCCTATAGGATCTTTAAATTATTGTTCTTAAATCTTTTCAACTAAAGTGCTAAGATCCAACCACTGAAGTACACACACCCTAGGCTCAATTTATAGTTTAGGCTGGCATAGAACTCACAACCCCCCCCGTCTCAGCCTCCCACAGGTTCTGGAGTTACAGGCATATACCGCCATATCCGAACCTCTTTAAGCCTTTTAAGAAATATGGTGTGATGGTTGGTTTTAATGTCAATTTGCCACAAATTGGAATCACCTGAGTAGGGAGCTTCACCTAAGGAATTGTCCAGATTGATGGGGGGGAGGGGGGCAGTCATCCCCACCAGAATGTGGGGCGGCATCTCCTGGTAGCAGATTAAAGGAAGGCGTGGCCGAATGAAGACTGTCTTTCGCTCAGTTTGTCTTCTCTCTTGTCACAGTGTTGCAGCTGCTGCTGTTTCCTTGGCTGATTTCGAGCTAGGTTTTCCAAGACTTCCGCCATTGACTGAGGACCAGCAGCTCATCTGGTTTTTGGTGCAAGATTGGAACTGCTGAGGTACCCCAGGCCCATGGACCTAGCAGCTATGGGGTTCTCAGCCCTTCAGGTGTGAGATAACCGTTGTTACTATTTCAATACGAGCTTATTTAATAAATTGCTTCAATTACCCTGTGGCTTACGTAGGTAGCGCCTCTTCTTGGGATAAAAAGAAAGCAGCTGGACAGCAGAGGGCGCTGCAGAGCTGCAGTCCTCGCCTTCATGAAATGCTCTCCGGGGCCGGAACATTTCCCAGAGAGCCAGCGGTCTTTGGAAACCGGTTTTTATTTTAGGCAGCAAGTGTTCTGGGGTTCTACAGCACCTAACTTTCTTTTGTTTTCTTTCTGACTTCTTCTCTTCCATCGGACCCGGGTTCAATTCCCAGCACCCACATGGCAGCTCGCAGCTGTCTGTAACTCCAGTATCTGACACCCTCACACGGACATTAACAGCAAAACACAGATGCACATAACATAAAAATAAATAATTTATTTAAAAAAAAAAAAAAAGAAAGAAATCCTGAGTGACACGAGAAGCAGCTAAGGGGAGCAAGGGTAGAGAAGAAAATCTTTGCAACCCGGACAGCTAGTTTAAAATTCCACTGCATCTTTTTTTTTTTTTTTTTTTAATGGATTGACCAGGGATGAATAGTTCATAGCCTGTCCGTTTGTTCCTTCATCTACAAGAGGGGCTTCTAATTCTGTTGTGCAGGACTAGAGGTGGATTTGAATCCAGGGTCTTTTACGAGACTTAAGGTTGCACAACAGTTCTGTATATCCATATCAGGGGTCTACGCCCTGTCAGGCCTATTCTGACATTAGAGAGTCCATGAGGGACAGAAAGCAAACATAGCTTTCCAGCACTTACAGTTCACTAGGGGAGGCAGAACTTTTACAAAGATTTTATTATTGTTGTTGTTGTTGCTGCTTTGTTTTGTTTTTTGAGACATGGTGTCACTGTGTAGCCCCGGCTGTCCTGGAACTGGCTGTATTAACCAGGCTGGCTTGGAACTCGCAGAAATCCGCCTGCCTCTGCCTCCCGGATGCTGGGATTAAATCCATCACACCCTGCTATTTAAAAAAAAAAAAAATCTTTTGTTAATGTGTATGATGACTGTTTTACTTGCATGTATGTCTATTTACCATGCGTGAGCCTGGTGCCTGAGGAGGTCAGAAGAGGGCATCTGAATCCATGGACCTGGAGTTAGATGGTGTAGGTGGTGGAAATTAATCTGAGATCCACCAGAAGAGTAACCAGTTGCTCTTAACTGAACCATCTCTCCAGCTTCATGGTTTATTTTGTTTTTAATCACCTGCGTGTGGGTATGTGCATATGAAAGCTAGAGGGAGGGGGTTCCCTGGAACTGGAGTTAGAGGTGGCTGTGAGCTGCCTGATGTAGGAGCTGGGAATTGAACTTGGGTCCTCTGGTAGAGCACTCTGTGCTCCTAACTGCTGAGCTGTCTCTCTAGCCTGAACAAATTTTTAATCAAACCACACATGTTCAAGTAAGTACAACAAAGGCTTGGTCTTCAGGTTCCGAGGCAAGGCACAGCTCCCTGGTGTAGTGAGGAGAGTTCAGTCTGCGTGCTGGCCAGTCCACTAAGCACAAAAAGGGGGAAATTTTATCCAAAAAAGGAGAGTAGTTAGACAGGGGATGTTGCTCACTGGGCGAGCTACAGTTTTGCTTTGGAGGTCTAAACACTGGATTTGTTCGCCAGCACTGGAGAAGAAAGGTCCATATACTCTGGAAATGGCAGTGATATTGGGCATGAACTGCATGGGCTAGAGAAGATATAGCTTGGTGGGCAGTGTGTGAAAGATGGACAGTGGGAGACCATCAGGACCCTAGCTACCTTATGAAGGAGCTTTCTCTCTATCCTACGGATGAAGAAAGCATGCACAATTACAGGCTGTGGGGCTGAGAGAGGGCTCAGTGGCTAAGAGCATTGGCTGCTCTTCTGGAGGTCCTGAGTTCAATTCCCAGCAACCACATGGCAGCTTGCAACCGTCTGTAACGGGATCTGATGCTGTCTTCTGGTGTGCAGACATGCCTGTAGGCAGAAAAGCAAACAATCTTTACAGTCACAGGCTGTGAGCAAACTTCTATGCTGACATGGTCCCCACCGGGCTGGGAAGATGGCTCAGTCGGTAAGGTGCCTGCTCCTCTCTGAGCCTGGAGCTCATCCATTTGGCTAGGTTGGCTGGTCAGTGAGCTCCAGGGATCCATCTCATCTCCAGTGCTGGGATTACAGACACTTGCTGCTCTGCCTGGCTTTTATATGTGCTGGGTATCCAAACTCAAGTCCTTAAACTTGCGATAGACCCTGACTTTTTTTTTTTTTTTTTTTTTTACCGTGTATGTGTGTGTGTCCGTGAGCTGGGTGGCTGTGGTGGTGCACATCTTTAGTCCCATTGCAATGGGTTCCTGTCTGGTCTCTCTCTGCCTCCAGTCTCAGCGCCACACAAACTTGCTTTTATTTGATCCTCACAACATCCTTGCCCAGTAGGTAAAGCTATGATGCTGGCCTTCCCTTTTCAGATGTAGAGGGGATCTAGTGGGGCTAGAGGGCAGACTTCTGCCAGCTTCTGAAATTCAGCGGTTAAAATATCTGGAATTTTGTAAACCAGTTGTTAGACACAATAGCTCCTTGGCCTTCTGACTAAGATCAAGCACTTTAATCCCAGCACTCAGGAGGCAGAGGCAGGTGGATCTCTGTGAGTTCAAGGCCAGCTTGGTCTGCAGAGTGAATTCCAGGACAGCCAGAGCTCCACAGAGAAACCCTGCCTTGAAAAAACAAAACAATAAACAAACGAGCAAACAAACAGAAAGATCAAGTGCTAATACACATAGTCGCTGGGCTGGAGAGATGGCTCAGGGGTCCAGAGTGCTGGTCGGTCTCCCAGAGGACCTGTGTTCTACTCCAAGTACCCACAGGGTAGCTCACAACCAACTGTCTGTAACTCTAGTCTCAGAAGTCAGAGACTCTTTTCCAGATCCTGAGGACACCAGGCAAGCACGTGGTGCACAGACACTGCATGCATGCAAGAAAAAACACGCATATACATTTAAGAAACAAAGCAAAACCAGTTACTACTCAGAATTAAATTATGTAAACTTATAGGATTGGAGGTACAGCTTAATGGTAGAGTGCTTGCCTGGCATGCAGAAAGCCCTGACTTCAATAAATGTGTGCATATATATATATAAATGTGTATATATATATATATATATATATATATATATATATATATATATATAT